CGATCGTGGGAGCAGCGGGCCGTAGGCCCGCAGATCGTCAGTGCTCAAAAGTAACGAATTCTGACCTATGTCTCGAACATGGGCCTGTAGCTATCACAGAGTGGGAGCTGACAACACCCTCCCCAGAGAGAGGAAAAGTTCTTCAAACAGTCGCTTGCAGCGTGAAATTGTAAGGATGGACCGCCACTTATGTGTTATGTCAGGTTGTATGCATGCTGACGTGCTGGCATTTGTGCGGCACCTGACAGAGTTCTATCAAGAGTAAGCTTGCAGTGAAATCGCTACCGCTGTCCAACGTACACTAATGTAAACGATTTCTCCAAAGTCCTGACAACATGGGATGAAGCAGGCTGTTTGCATGTCGAAAGATTCAAAGCCCTAGCATTGTTAACCTGCCCATGTCCGTGTTTCGAAAGAAAAAGTTTTATCCAGTGTTTGCACCTCTTCAAGAGAAGATGCAATGGCTCAGGCACGCGCTGTTGTCGATCGTAGAAACACAAAGCACCAGATCGCAGATGCTCGTCGCGTCACAGAACAAGATGCCACTGTTTGCTATATGAAGCAGACATTAGCCCAGTGACCACATATGTTAGTGTGTGTGTTAGTGTACGTGTAGATGATTTCTCAACATGGTGATGGCTCCTGTATCTGGTCATCCGCAGGCCTCGTCAAATGTTCCACAAATGTTCAGCTTTGGCTTATGATCTCATCCAATTGGTCTAGATGTTCTTTACTGTCTTCACCAGTGCGTCACGTGTTCGTTGCAGTGCTTCTCCCCCTCCATCGTTGCAGCAGGGCTGCAAGAAGCAGACCTCTCGCGCAGAATCTAAATTTCGCTGCTGGAAGGACCTGCTGCGCCAAGTCCAGGAACATGTTGATGCCGAGGTCGGCAATCCGCCGGATTGACAAAGTAGGATGTTTGCCTGCTACCCAGGAACTTGGTGTGCGCAACCGGGCCAATCGCGGAAGAGGAGCTGTTTAGGGTTGAGGAGGGTTCAACAAACGAGCATGATTTGAGTTGCGCAAATCTTCCGCAGGAGGTGCTTTCGCTTCTGGAGCTCGAAGCAGAGCCAACCAATTCTGATACTGCAGGCACAGGCTTTTGGCATGCGGACGGCGCAGTCGGTCGGTCTTTTGCATGTGCGACAAAACGTGCGCCAAGGATGGATTCCCATTGGATCGCCCGAGCTCAGCTTGGAGTACTGGCGCGACATGCCAGGCAAGCCTGCGGGAATTGTCTGAAGTTTTTGATGCCAGGGGAGGGAACGAACCAGGCTTTAGCTTAATACCTCGCATCCACTAGGATTGGTGGACTCAGGTGCCGAACCCTCCGGCATGTTCTTGCTGAGAAATTATCTGATTCTTCCTGGCGCCTTCGACTGCATTTCCAATCATTCACTTTGTTTCTGTTTTGCATCGTTCAAAGGCAGAGGCATAGATGCATGCGCGATCCAGTAGGAGGATGTCGCAGCCCTTTCCTAGCACAGGTATCTCACCAGCAATCGCCAGCAAGTTCTTGCACGACGACTGTTCAAGGACTTTGCATTCTTTGCAGAGCTTGCATGCCACATGGTTGAGGAAAGCTGTACAAGAGCACGCTAGGAAGAAGTGGGACCCCTTGGTTGAGACGCTGGAAGATCCGGCGGACGAGAGGGCGCGCTTTAGTTGGTAGGACCCACAGGAAACCTGGAGGTTTTCAGTCTGGCAGGCCTGTGGCCAGTGTAACGGCGACATTGTCTACTTCCGGACAGATGCGCAGTGACTTTGCTTGAGATTGGCTCGTCAGTTCACAGCGAGACTCAACTATTTTTGCAAACATATCGGTGGTCTGGTTTGGAGCACTGCCTTCTTGTTGCATGTTGCATCGCCGACGGAAAATGAGCCCTTGTGGCACCGCCTACTCAGCATGGATTTCGCGAGATGCCTGATGCCCAGAACATTGTACAGTTCAACAGTCCGTGCCTAGTCTCTTTCGTCAGGTGGAGCAGTCACCTGCCACAGAAGAGTACGGCTGCAGGACGGAAGGCGTTCGCCAATGGGCAGAGAGGCCACCCACCTTGTGTATTCTCCTGTAGCTCAAAGTCACCCATTGACCCGTTTTCAACATTTCTGGAGACACTTGTATCCTGATGCTCAATACGGGAGGTTGAAACACTTCCGCCTACGGAGAGCCGTAGTGGGGCATGTCGTTCGAAGTCTGGAGGTTGGATCAGTGCAAGCTGCAAAGCAGACGTAGCATTCCGCATGGGAGGATGGATGCCGCATCTTCACCTATGTTCAGATGGAGGCTACATGCTTTCGTGCTTGTCCTATTGGACCACGTATACATTTCTCTGTTCGTTGAAGGCAACCTCTATGCTGATGTCTCTGGGGCCACAAATAGCTCCAAAGCTTTTTCGAGGCCATCCGCTTAGCCGGTCGGGAATCTCTCTCCTGCGGTGCCACGTCTGCTCATACAGCCCAGTTCTGCATGCGTGATTTCCTCTCGTGCTGGACACTCAAAGGGACTTGTGGTTCCATCACCCGCTTCTCTAGAACTGACATGTCTGATCTTTTCGCAGGCTTTTCTCGAGATTTCGTTGCGAGCGATGCGGGCTTCCGTGTTTTTTGAGTTGGTTTCGCTTGCCAAGGAGAACGGCAAGACGGGGAGGAGAGATTGAGAGGCGGAATACTACAAAAGAGGAATGAACCAAGACACATTGCAGCTGGAGTCGAGGAAGTCGTGAAAACAGCAGGGGAGGAGTGGAGAAGAATGGAGGGCCAGCACATGTAAGCCGTAAGCATTCCGTCCGGTCTGTTTCCCGACTTCACGACTTTGGGTCAGCGCCCGACTAGTTCAGCACAGATGCAGCCATCTAGCTTATTTGGGTCGAGTCCAGGGCTTAAACATCATGATCCTGGTTCGTGCTATGGTGGCGGGATGGCAACGGCAGTGATCACGACTGTAGTGATAGTAGCTGCTGGGGTGGCTGTCTGGCTCATTCTTTCGACGTCGACCCTTCCTACTTCAGTCATCAAACCTTCGTCCCGCCGTTCCTTCCTGCCTGGCTTCCTTGCTTGATACCTGGTTTTAACCAGTCCTTCCTTTCCTTCCTTTTTCGCTGACCAGTGCCTCTTGCGTTGTTATGATTTTCGTGAGCAGTGAGATGATGTTAATGAGAATAGGCATCAAGAATGCCTCTATTCTCATCATCATCATCATCACCGTCACCATCACCGCGACCATCATCATCTTCATTATCTATCTTCATCATCATGAATCATGAGCATCGTCGTAGTTTTCAGCTTTGCGCAGTTAACGCCTCTCTGGGACATGTCTGACTAGGATGCGGGTTTGTTTGCGGTGTAAGCATTCTGGGATCTGTTGGGGTTTTGGGTTTAAGGATTTGAGGGTCCACGGCCTTGAGGGCTCAGGTTGTTTCAGGGCATGGGCTTTTCGGGTTTATAGTATTGTATAGACTTTTCTTATTTCTTTTGTGGTTTATGCTATTTTGTTTTTTTGCCCGTCCAATGGGTCCGGCTCGTACACGTGCGAATGTCGGGTGCATGAATTTCGCGGCCTCCGTCCGTGCGAGTCCACCGTGTCAGTGCACAAGTTCCCCGTTCCGTGCGCCGCTTTTCTGGTGAGCAAATCCCGTCTTCCGGTGCACCACCCCGCCTTTGCCTGTACCGCTTGAGCAAATTACTCTGTGAAGATCCGATCCGTGTGTGTGCAAAGTTGAGAAAGGAATGTGCGGCGACTTCTCTCAAGCTTGCCGTGCAGAATTGGAAAAGGCACCCCTGATGCCTGCTTCCGGAAGATTCCCAGGCGTGTGTGTCGCACGAGCATTCACGAGCTTTCGACCAGGAGCCGCCAGACATTGACGGTGAAGTCGCGGACAACACGGGTGCGGCCGAGTGCTCTTCTTCTTGAGACTGCTCGTTGGTTTTTTGAAAGGTCGATCGGACACTGTCCATGTTCCTCAATTCTTTGACCGACTGGCCTGTTGGTTCTGGGTATGGACAGTATCATGCGGGCGTTGAAACCCCAGATGGGCCAGGACATGTCAGCAGGTGACGAGACAGGCGCCCGTCGTTTCTCTGCCTTCGCGATCTCAGCTTGCGATTTTTTTGCGACTTTCGGAAGGCTCCACGGCATCCGAAGCCGGAGGCTCTGAGGCCGAGCCGCCCAGCGGCCGAGATCCGAAGAGTTTCTGAGCAAAAGCCTCGGTAAAGGCCTCGTCCCACTCGGCTGGCTTGGACTTCTTGGGCATTGTGGAGAATAAGAAGCTCGTGCATGCCTCGGGAGATTCAGACGCTGCCCGCAAAAGTGTCAAGAACAACATCTACCGGAGACACTCTTTATGCAAGTTCCATCGAGGTCCCAGCTGTCTCGGCATTTCGACGCCTTCTCAGGAAGCCGGGTCCTGAGGCCGGTAGACCCGGTAGAGAGCACTCTGCGGCGAGTGCCACTCGCTGTTGGTCTGGTCCTCGTTGCAGAGAGGACTGTGTCCAGGAAGTTCAGTTGTCCCAAAGCTCGGGAACAGACAGCCCGAACCGGCCTAATTAGGTGGGGAGCTTTTGTGCATGGCATTGAGATTCCGCAGTTCAGGACTGGAATGCTGTTCAGTCAGGTCAGAAAAGGGCACGACGAGGAGGGCTAAGGCAGTGGCTTTTGAGGTTTTTGAGTCACGACGGGGGGGTTGCTTTGCGCCGTTGCTTCAGGCTGAGCCGCAGGAAAGTCACAAAGGCCCGGAGCTGCCAAGAGACCGGAACCCTCCCCGCACTCTGCCGGTCTCTTCTGAGAAGGAGAGCCGCTCTTGGAGCGGAGCCTGGAACCGGAAGGCGGCAGGCGGGGCCGAGCCGGGGCCGGTCAGGCTGTAGGCGCACCTTTTAAAGGAGCGCCGGGGGCGGTGCTTGCGAGGCGACGGCGCTCCAGCATGCTCCGAGCCAAAAGCTCAATCTCCGAGCTGCTCGGATTCCGCCTTCTGGCCCCGAATGGTGAGGAAAAGAATCGGGAACGCCAGAGAGGCTCCATGGAAGCCGTGGCAGAACGCCTCGGAGAAGCAGTTCGCCTAAGGAGTTTCTGGAAGCCGGTGGGTCGACTCGCTCTGAGCCCCGTGCTTGTCAGGAGCCAACACGTCCGGGACTCGGTGCTGGAGGCACGGGGCATCGGTAAACACTCTCTATGGAGAACGGGCCACGATCAAGCAGTTAGGTGACGAAGTTCCGTTCTGGTGAGTTGTACAGTCCAGAGATGCAACGCATGTTGGGGCATAGGAGCTTCGATTATGCAGGTCGTCCTGGAAGAGGAGGACGATGGAAAGGTGGCTTGTGCTCCCTGTTCCTGCCCGAAGCCCAGCATGCGAACGACTGTCAGGCCAAGCTCGTCTCGAGTGAGGCCGAGAAGCAGGCCAGAGAATGCTGCGATGCTGTTGCATCCGTGCCTGATGTTTATTCGTATCGATGTTTCCAAGCGGTGTTTTGGACTTTCCTGACGGTGTCAGCGTTGATGCAGCAGGGGCTCTTTCTCGTTTCAGGTACTAGTGGCCTGCACCCGTGCATCCCTCCTCGGTCTCCAGACCGAAACGTCCCCTTCCCGCCCTGGCTCCCCCTTCACGCACCAACCATCCCTAGCCTGCACAAAACAGAAGGAAGTCAAGGTTAAACCAGATGACAGCAGAGAGAAGGATAGAAACAGTTCGCGGGACATCAGATCAGGGCTGGCTGCGCGGAGAAGCACAGAATCGAATCAGACACAGAATCAGACAGGTCCCAGTGTCAGGTCGTAATTGTCGAGGGTTCGCGCTTGAGGGTTTAGAGCAGAGGCTTTTAAGGCTGTGCGTTCACAGTTTAAGGTTTAGGGTTTAGGCTTAAGTCAGCGGTTTAGGGCTTTAAGTTTCAGGGTTTAGCGCTTCAGGTTTAGAATTTGCGGGGGTTTGGAGTATGGGGTTGGGAATCAGGGAATCAGGGCTCAGGGTTTTAAGCTTCAGGGTTTAGGATTTAGCAAAAGTTTCTTGGGGTTTCGCGTCAAAAGATTCATTTGTTATGAGATTGGGGTGGGCAGCTAGCATTTAGGGTTATTGGCGGGGGGCAAAGATATCAGGATTCAGGGTTTTGGGGTTGAGTGGGTCGGGCTTGAGAGTAGGTTTTCTGGTTTTCTCTTTGGGCCTTGGGGTTTAGGGTTCCGGGTTTTTAGGGTCAGGCTTCAGCGTCTAGGTTCACAGGTTCCCGGTTGTGGTTGTGACGTAGAGGGATCATTCAGGGTGTCAGGTTAAGGGTCTAGGGGGTTTGGAGTTCCAGAGGCTTTCTTTCCAGAGGCTTTCTCGAACTTCAGGGTTTCGCTCGCGGGGCTGGGATTTGGGTTGAGGAGTTTCGAGCCGAGGGCATATGGGCTTTCGGGTTTGCAGTGCCTGGGAGTGGGATTCTGGTTGAGGTTTTCTAGGGTTTAAGGTTGGGGTGGGGGTTAGTGTTTAGGGTTTATGGCGGTTCAGGTTTCAGGGTTTTGGAGTTAGAGTGTTGGGGCTTTGGGGTCTTTTTAAAACTTTAGGCCTTGATTAAGGGTGTAGGGTTTTGGATGTTCAGGGTGTTCAGGGTTTCGGGCTTCTAGGGCGAGGGTTCAGCGATTAGGTGCAACAGTTGCAGGTTGCAAGGTTTATGGTTCAGGGTTTGAGGTGCGGAGTGTTAGGAGTTGGAGTTTCGAGTCCGGGGCCGGGGCTTTTCATTTTCGGGGATCCAATCCCTGGTTGGAGTTTAGGGTTTTTCATGGTTCACGGTAAAGAGTATTGTTAGGAGGGGGTTTGGAGTTTACCGCTTATGGTCTTACAGGTCGCCAGGTTTGGGTTCAACATTTCAGGCTTCAGGGTTTGGAGTGTAGGAGGTCGGGGTTGGGCTTTGGGTTAACGGCTTATGCTTCAGGTTTCAGAGAGGTTATTCCGCGTTCGAGTTTGAACGGTTTAGAGCTGAGGTTGTAAGGTTTAGAGTTCCGGGTTTCAGGTTGTTTAGGGCCGTAGGGATTTTGCAGCTGAGACCTGCTGTTGGGATTCACAGTTTAGGGTTCGGTTTTTTGCTTTGCTTTTGGAGTGGGGGGTTAACGTTTAGGGTTTAGCCCGAAAATTTCAGGCTTCAGGATTTTGGGGATTGGGCTTCAGATTGGTTTTTGGACTTTTCCATGTGGTTAGGGTTTCGGGTGAAGCGTTAAGAGTTGAGGGTTTGGCGTGTTTAGGGAGGGGCTTGAGCGTTGAGGTTCTTCAATTTTCAGGTGATAGGGTTTGTGGCTCAGGGCTTCAGGGGTTTGGTGTTCAAGAGGTTCGAGTCTAGCGATCCCAAGACAGTTTTCTTGAATACCTTGACCTCTGCGATCCCCTTTTCAATAGATTTCAATAGACACCCGGCCCCACAAACGCGTCGGCCCCCAATCCGATTAGCCTCGCGGCGATCCGATTCCCGTTTACTGCGATCCGGCCCTGTGATCCGCTTCGCACCTGGTGCGATCTTAGTGATGCAATTCGATTCGTGCCACGCCCCGGCATAATTAATGCCAACATTCAGCAGCTGTAGCAGTGCAGACAACCTTGCACGCACAGCTGCGAAGTACAGCTCTGAGGTGCACCTATCTCAACTTATATATTCAAAGCCTTATTCACAGTTATCATATAGGAGATTTCGCTTGAAGATTCCAGGCGTTGAGGCGTATAGTGAAGCCTGTGGAACAAAGAATGACCCACTGCACAAAGCTCTGCTGGCCCAGGCGTCGGCAAGTGCCAGCAAGCCTTCGGCAAACGTTGCCTCCTTCGGCTCCGAGGACTCGAGCATGCAGAGTGCACAGGGCCCAGAAACGGTCAAAATGCGTGGATGCAGCTTTGAAGTTTTCATGCACCCAGGTTTCCGTGCAGCCTCGAAAGCGGTTTTCACTGCCTGTACCTGCACGCAGCAGAAGGCCTGCCATGCTAAACCCAAACTGTGCGAGCTTATGAGCTTAAGTGCAGCTCCAACGGCTTGGTCAGGAGATCTTCGGCCCGCAGTGTACACTCGGTCGGCACCACGGACTCGGAGGCGCTCAGCGTCACTTCTTGGAGCTTCTTCGGAGTAGGGTGAGCTTATGTGAGCTTTTTGGTTTTGTATATCGCAGCGTTCAGGACAGCATGTCTTCGGCTTCAGCCGCTGGTGGAGTCAATGAAGAGGATACCAGCCGTCGCCGGGAGCTCAAGTGGCATTCACGAGTCACGAGTTCTCGTGTCGTTCCAATGATAAGATCTCCGAGGTCGCTGGGCTTTCGTGGCTGCCTTATCTGTGTCAGTGTTTGACCTTGCCGGCTTGACCGGCTTCAGATCAGAGGCCCTGGACTCATTCTTCGACAGGGCACGTGTTGTTCGTCCCGAAGGCAGGATCACGCGACATCATCGGATTTCTTGCAGGGTTGTAAGTACACAGTTGACGCGTTTGCTTGCGGAGGTTCCTCAGCGGTTTCCACAACCACGGCATCCTCTCGTGCCTCTAGCCCTTGCATGGGTACGCCATCCGCTTCCTCGCCTGCAGGCAGGGTCAGTGCCAGTCGGCTGTCAGTCTGTTGATGGCATGGCCTGGGGTACGCATGCCGAGCCAGGAATCAGGGCAACCTGGGTGCTAGTTCCTGGCTGATGTAGGTTCAGTACGTCCTTGTGCATCCTCTTGAAAGTGCAACGTGTCTTCAGGATCCTCCTCAAAGCAAAAACTTACAGAATGGCCGGCAAGTTTTGCAAACTCGTCGGGACGGGTGGGCTTGATGTCACAGGTGTGGGTGCAGGTCCGGACACTGACTGCACCAAGGCCCTGATCGCGCGGGGTTGTCTTGCATGAGCTTGCAGACCGCTGTGAACACTTTGTGCTACGATTCGAGAGCTAGTACATTCGGAAGCTTCCTGAAGCGAAGTGTGTCCCTCAACCTTAGCCTTAGCCTCTGCAATTCAGTTCACCCAGATGTCCCAGTAGTCTCCATGCAAAACCAACTCCTACCTATCGGGTTGACTGCCATTGTGGGCCGCTGCCACGGAATGCCTTGGACCTGGAAGCGAAGCAATCGAGCCGGATGCTTCGTGGAACTATTGAGTCTCTCGCCATACGAAACCCGAAGCGAAAGAAGCCAAAGAAGCTGCTGAGTTCCAGCAGCCTATGTTTGGCAACTAGTAGTTACAAATACCACAACTTTAAAGAGTCTAGTTTTGATAAACTTCTGGTCGTGACTGCTGACAGTTTCATGCCCTGGATCCGTTCCAGCCGGTACGCTGACTCCAGGTGTAGCCGCTGACGTCTTTGGATGTTTTTTTGCTGATGCCATATTCTGTAGCTGCGTAGTGTTGACATTGTATCTACAAATTGTATCCTGCTACGAGGTAGCATCCAGCAATCTTTGCTGTTCTCGAGTGCGTGTACGATCATGAATCATAGTATGCTATCGCCTTACCAAACGACTACCAGGTCGCAAAGCCTACCTTGGCAGGTGCAGCATGGGCCGTGCCCCCGTATATGGATTCGAGGTTTGGGTTTCGGGTGCACCTGTTTTACGACAGTTTTACGACATTAGCGCAGCTGGTTCTGATTTCATTGATATACGCTATAGCTGGCTGCTTCATGTTTGTGAAGCGAGGTCTTGACCCAACTCTGCAAGGAGACGGCGCAAGAGCCGGACCCCGATCAGCCTAGCGCAGCTTCGAAGCCGTCGGACGAGAGTGCGCCACAAAGAGACTCGACCATGTGACTAGAGGACCCTGCACTTGCTGCACTTCCGGCAACGGAAGAGCCTTCGAGCGCGCCCACCGACCAGGCGGGGGAGAGGAGCGTCTACGCGAGGCGACGGCTTCCAGAGCCATCAACCGCCAACCAACGGACAGGTGGCCACGAGAACGCTCAGAGGATCGTTAATGTCTGCAGAGGCCGGATACTTACAGCTGTTTCTTTGCGTGGTGGATGTGGTGGCACCGTTGCCACGAGTTTTTTGCTTCAAGATTCTGCCTTTCAATGTCGTTTCTGTGACCTAGATCCTCGCCTAGGCCTTCAAGTTCTGCTTCCCTCAGGACTGCTTTCCTCCGGGTGCAGACCACCTCGTCACTTCACATAGGCAGAGTCTTCGTCACTACATGTGGGCATTTCAGGACATTTGTGGAGTCCCGCTGGACTCAAAAGCGGCTCTCAAGGAGTTGTACCAGCCTTCGCAAGCATCGATGCATCAGATGTGAGCCAGAAGTAGCCAGGATCCTGGCTGGAAGCGGTCCTCCAATCGAAATCGCCGAAGGGCCACGGCTGTTTGAGGCATCTGTAGCTTCTCTTCGGACTCTTGGGACTATCTTTAAACCCTTGCAGAAAGGCCTGTCGATGGAAAGCTTCAGAGGGTGCTGCCTTACGAGAGAACAACGCAGGGGAAGATATTCACACCAACAAGGAGCTTCCTCTGTCTGTTCTGTACTGTACCATCAGATCAGAAGGTTGCAACAGCCCAAACTTGTTAATTGCGTCATCGGTTGATGTGTTGCAACCTTCTTTCTTTACGGCTTCAGGTAATGCACAGTGCACGGCGCAGTGCCGCAAGTGCTTTCGTCGTTCGATTTCACTACAGATGTTTTCTTCAGCCATTACAGGTGTTCGCTCGTCAGAAGCAATGCGGTGCCGGAACGGATGGCAGAAGAGATTGGAGCAGCTTCGTGCTGAGCAGCACGACTCACCCCATAAACATGAGCGGCAGACGTTAATAACCTGCAAAGGTTTCCAATCTCGGATCCAGTCAGTCAATCTGTTCTGTCATTTGGGGCCGGTGTGATGCACATGCGGCATGGAAGGAATCTGTGCCGTTTCGCTTGGGCCGTGCCGCTAAGGCCCCGTTGCTCACCAAAGCACCTTTGAAGGCGAAGGAGTTAGAAGGAGACCAAATAGGAAGGAGTGGCAGAGGCTTCGATGAGAATGGGGCTGGGCAAGGTCCTGGGACATGGCAAGTCCACGTCCATAGATAATCCACTCGAAATCGGCAGACCCGAATCGACCCGGATATCCTGGGCTTCGCAGGTCTGCATGTTCCTCCCGTTAGCTTCCTGTGCTGTCTCACCTTGAGCCAGTGATTTTTTTCACTTCTGTGGTCGCATGTCCGGGATGAAAAAAGGCTGCTCAAGGCACCACGCCGAATGGTAACACCGAAGGGTTGGCCGCTACAGTCTGGATCTGTAGTCGCATTGCACCTGCATCTGTCACAGACGCAGACGGCTGGCTCCCAGCGGTGTGAGCCTCACACCAGCCCGTGGGGACATGGAGAGGTACCCCCTGCGACAGCTCAGAGCCACATGAGCCTGTCCGCCCGATGTTTGGCAGGTGGGAGGAGTCCGCAAGTCCTGGGATGGTTTCTCAGTGGAACTGAGGAGTTTACGGTTGCAAAGTGTTGCACCCGACATATGCAGAAAGCAAGGTCGAGTCTGAGTCCTCCGATTCTACCAGCGGTCGCTCGCAGGAGCCACGCACTCTTGTGCACCAGCAGTTTGATTGGATCTGATGATCTGCAGTTGTGTATTTTCTGATGCAGGCGAACAGCAGCTGCTTTTCTTCTTCTTGACTCTCCCGGAGAAGATGAACAGGCCTTGAGAAGAATTACACCAAGAAGTTCGTCAAGATCTCGAAATGCCGGAGCTCTGACACCGGGCAGGCTTTGCTGACTCTTTGTAATCAAGGCGCAGCACCGCCAGCACAGCATCACTGAGTCGCGTGGGAGCAAAACCAGGACACGATGATGCCCAGACAGTTCCCGGCCACAAGCACCGGCTAGCTTCAAGTTTCAGCGGTCAGAGTCCAAGAGTCAGCTTTGCGTTAGCTTTGCATTTCACCAAGCAGCATCTCGAAGAAGCTGGTAATCCAACGTAACTAAGTGATGGCAAGGTCACGGAAGCCACTCTGACGAAGCGAAGGCAGGACTTTGATGCAGGAAATGGCATGCACTTCTCAGGACAGATAATGAGTGTGCGTGTCTTCTGCGCGTGACAGCTTGCGATAGATGTTGACCAGTACAGGGCATCCGTTCCGAACGCTTAGACTGCTTTGTTCGTATAGCTCTCTCTATGTCTATGCAGCACTTGTGATTAGGCTGTTGCCGGAGATCTGGGCCAGTTCCTTCATGACCCATCAAAGATCGCAGATGCTTCTGCCGCAGTCTTACAGTGGCGGGTTGGGGGTGTTGGAAGTCTTGCTGATGCTCCAGTGGTACCACTATCGTCTAATGTTCGAGGCATGGGCCAAGCTGATGACCGACGCCACCTGACAAGCATGTCAGCTTCGCCTTTGTGCATGTACCTGTGAAGTGTGGGTTTTTCGCACGAGGCAGCTGGAGCGATCACATGAATGCCGGTGAAGGTTTTAGACTTGGTGTAATCTGCAAGATCTTAACCAGGAGGTGTTGGGTTGGCACTGATGTTTCTGGGGCCGGGCTCTTCCTCATGCTCTCCCGATATGGATGTGCGGTGCAAGGGCTCAAGATGTAAGGTAGCCGTGGTGGCAAACTTCGGCGTACTGGCCCCAATCTGTTGCTGTTGTGACCGGCTGTTGCTTTAAAATATGATGATCTTCTGTGCTCCAAAGCCAGGCATTGATTCTGACGTTTCTAGGGGCCGCCTACCATGCGTATGGCTATGTCCAACTCCGCAATGCCCAGAAACAGGCCGTGACGAAGTGCCCTGCCTTCAACAGCAGCGCGAAAGACCAGTGCTCTGCGGACAGGCATCTCGCTCGCAAGGAGGAGGCGGAGGACATCATTGAGTCCGAGGACGGCGTACCCGGACTTGCAGCGGCTTTGAGCATGATATGTTTGACACGTTCTGCTTGAGAGGCTTTCGTGCCGACCGTCAAAAGTAAGACGGGAAAGTGAGCTCTCTGACATGATTGCAACGAAGGACTGTAACGTACTGTGCGGCGAAAATTGTCCGATCTAATTACAATCGATACTGTCGGTTGCGGAGCCTCTCTGAAAGAAAGCTCACTTATGACTATTAACACGTGTTCTGTCCGTTTTGCTCGTCGTCGAATTGTTTACCTGTCTGCTGCTCGCTCGATAGTGCGTCAGAGTGGGCGGTCGGGGTGGCAATGCCTTGCTTCATTATCCTGCTGTGATGCTGTGAATCACACCCACCAGGAAATTCATTCACAGAGCACCTGCTTTGGACTTCGTCCGTACGCAACCGCCACGTTCCTAATTCGGGAAACGGTCCAGTTTCAGGTGTACTTCAGCTTGCGAGCGAGTTTTTTCAAGCGCTCCTTGATCTCATGTTTGGTAGAGACACGGCAGTGGTGTCAGGCAGGTCGGCAGAAGGCTATTCGCACCCTGCCGCGGCCGCTCCAAGCTCCTGTTGAGGTTACTTCTTGAAGTCATGGGCCGAAGATTCGCCGGAGCCAGACACATCCCGGGGGCCCGCAATCCAGAGGCAGCCTTCCATCTAAAGCTATGGCTCACAACGAGTCAGGCCTGTCCTTACTGTCTCAATTGTGTACTGCTCCTTCACCAAAGACGAGTTACCCTGCTCATCTGCAGTCCAGGGAGAAAGCAGAGCACACAGATAAGAAGCCAGTACTGTACGTCATGCCTCTGAAAAATGGCGGCGCCCTTGCCGGTTCCGGATCCGCATGACACTGACTTGTCGGCGCAAGGAGCTCAGAAATCAACTTGTGCTTGCGGCGGTAGGATGCAAATTGGGTGCCCCGTTTAGCCTGTAAGGCAAGGTAGATCTGTTTTTTGGCCCGGGGTCCACATGGCTTTGGCGGCCAGCGTGAGCTGCAAGGTTCCACGGCTACGTTGACTTCAAAGACTTGGCTGCTCATGGCGAGTTCACCAAGGCAGTTGAACGACAGGACTGTTCATGCTGCGGGCCTTTTGTCGTTCTCATTGCTGCCGCCGCTGGTGGTGGTGCTGCTGCTGCTGCCACTGCTGCTGCTGCTGCTGTGCTGGTTGTGATGCTTGTGGTGTCGTCTCCCTCCTCGTCATTGCTGTCGTCGATGTTGTCAACTATAGTCATATTGGGCTGCACGAACTAGAAAGGCTGCGAGTACGACCGTACCGAAGATGCTAGCAATGATCAAGGTGATGACGGTAGGTTGTGAAGACGACATCGCTGGTCCTGATGATGGAGATGGTGGTACTGTCATCCTTCCTTCGTTTGGGTATTGCGTGATGTTTTGTGGACATTCTGGCAGCAGGTCCGGACCCTTTGTGACGCGATCCATGGCAGAGTCATCCAGTACCGCTGGAGGGCCCCTCACCAGGAGAAGCTTTGTGAAGCCAAGGGCCAAGGGCAAACTCCGAAGAGCAAGGCATCTTGTGTTTGGAGGACACGGGTCTAGATGTCGTCGGGAAGAGGATGGAAAGTGATACACTCGGAGCGTCGTTGCTTGGAATCTGGCAGCAGATGACCTGTTGTGTGTGTCTGAGTCTTCTCTTCTGAGGTGCCAAGGCCAGCATCCAATGTTTTGGGATGCTTCTCAGCTCCTCGTAGTCAGTGTATCGCTGCCGTTGCAGGTTACACAGAACCGGGGTCGTTTCACAAACGTGCGGACCTCACTGCAAGAGACGCTTTCCACACGCTTTCGAGCACGCCTGACCGAGGAAAGACAAGCCCACCGGAACCCGAAGCATCCGGATTGCCCTCATCCGGAGGACGCCGCGGTCCGCGAGGAAATAGGCAGAGACGCAGCTCGCTGTCTTATCAGGATGCACTCACCGAAATTGGGGTGCTCTCCTACTTGAGGTTGGCCTGAGAGTCTTGGAACGGAGCTCACAGCACGACACTTCAACGCTTTGTTGCAGGCATCAGTCGCATGTGCCTGTCTATCTGCCCGTGTCCCAGCGCCTTGCACACAACGCATGGCCAATGATTTGCAAGTGATAGTTAAGCACAGCATGGCGTGGGAGGCTTAGAATGCTGGGAGCTTTCCGCGATGGTCGCACTGACCTTTTTGTTGCTCCCCTTTGCCTGCTTTGTGATTGCGGTTGAAGACATGGCTCGAGTGGGGCTCTGACTATGTACTGAAACTCTTGCCCGCCAGATACGAATACGCTTCTGGTGACAGAGTTGGTCTCAGATGGCGAGCTCTTCAACCACGCACGGAGCTCGGCAGAAGTACATCTCAGAGCAATTGTAAAGATCGGCAGGATCTGCAATCTCTGTCGAGAGAGAACGAGAGCTGCTTAGGTGGCGAACGGTCGTCTGGGCGCAGATGAAGGAGTGGTGAGAGGTCTCATGTTGCTGCCTTGTCCTACAATTCAATGTCTGCTTGCGGCCAAGCTCCGACAGCCCAGGTGGCAGCTCTTGCAGGGGACCAACTTCCTCCATGCACATGACATTGGCCTGGAGCTTGGAGGGCACTTGTCGCAGCATCTCGCCGAAACCTTCCGTGATGCCAGGCCACAGGGACATCTCACTGGAGAACGTCCTCATCTTTTTTGACAGGCAGAGCGGAATTCACTGGCGACACGTGTGAGTCGTTCGACGTTTGATTGCCAGCCAAAAACAGAAGCGCAATGGTCGGAAGGGGGTGGGGTCAGGGCTCCAAACATGAATGTCTTTTCTTGGTGCAGGTGTTTGAGGCCCCTCCCCTCCCCTCCCCTCCCCTGCCCTCCCCTCCCCTCCCTCCCTTCCCAGAGAAGTATTGGTGGTGCTCGTTACGGGTGTTGGCTAGTCGTTCAAGCCCTGTCACTCTGCGCGCTGTCGTCGCATCTCACATCGCACCGGAGTGGACGGGCTTGTCCTCTCGCGGGATCGGGATCTGTCGAGTATCATGGAGCTTGAACTCCGTCGTTTAGTACTTCATGGGGCATGTAGTCTTCCATGTCCTGCCAGGAACTTTGCAACACTGGTGCTGTCATCGCACCGCATCGGTGCCAGCAAGGACACAAGCTATTATATCGTCGAATCGTAGCCGAAGCAGGACACGCACACACATGTAGAAAAAGAAGAAGATAGCACGGCCGTGTGTTTCTGCACAGCTGGCAACAGCATGTTGCAAGACGGTGCTGTTCGGGAACAACGCCAAGAAAAAGGCCTGAGAACAGGCTTGTACACACAGCAGCGAGAATGCGGGTTGTGATTTACGTGTTGAAGTGGAACATGCCAGCAACCATCCCGACACAGAGTGCACACAACATGTTGCACGCCGAGCCCAAGCTTCGGGGATGCGGCAATGGCCCTCTGGCCTCGGCATGTTTTAAAGGACCTCGTATCTCGACTTATCTCGCAGTTCTCCAACCCAAGAAATCTTCGCGTGGGCGAAGCTCGCAAGCCGAGCAGCAATCGCAGAGATCCGATGTGGTCATGGACCAAGTGAAGACACCAAGACGGGAGAGCAAGGCTCATGGTCAGTGTGGTGTGTGTACCATGTGGAACGCCTAAGTGCTGCGATGTGCTGCGATTGGGCTTCCTGCGCTGCCGGCTGACTTGGATGTTACGGACAACAAGATGCCGCAACAAGCTTGCAGTGAATGCAGTGAGCCAAACTGGAGATCGCGGAGCGCCGCGCACCTCAACTGTTTATCAGGATACGCGCTGAGTGGTGTGAGTATTGTGGGTGCAGGGACCAGTACCACCTTCGACTGATGGATTTCGGACAAGCTGTTCCCTGCTCAGTTTTGTCGTGCAGTCAGAACGTCTGGTCATGGCGTGAGCTTGGTCGCTGAGGTGAGAACCCGCTCAGCCTGCAGGAGTGTGTTCCTGAGGCCCCTGTCGAACTGGAGCCTGCCGGCCCGGGGTCGCTGCCGCTCTGGGAGGTACTTTCGGCCAGCTGGCAAACCCTACTACAGGGGCCACTCGGCGACGAACCACGATCTGCTTCATGCTTCATATGATGAAGATGGAGTCTGAGGCCCAGAGGTCTATATTCCCGGCGAGAATCCCCAGGCGCTATCGTGTTCTGAGAGAAAGCTGAGCTTCACTGTTGGCAGCAAACGTCAAAGAATTCTGCCAAACATGCGTGAGGTACTTGTGCGCTGTCCTGCAGATGCGCAGGGAGGTGATGCTGCTTGTCTGAGACAGCTTTAATGGGAAGAAAATGGAAGAAATATCAGGGTTTCCTAGCTATAGGAAACACTCTCAGCAGCAAGGTTGTTTTCGTCGACAACCTCAAACGGGATGGGAGACCAGATGGCTATCGAAACGAGGCCACAGTTTTTCGGTATGAGTCGAAAGCTGGCTTGACATGTGGCCGGAAACGCAGGTGCGGCTGCCACCGGACGCCACTCCTGGGCAGCCTGCAGCACAGATGTGGTAACAATGTAGTATGCCTTAGTATCCAATAAATCAGGAGAAATGGTCCCAACCTGCAGCAAGGACCTGCCTCGCCGAAAGTTGGGGCTACGAGGCGGAAATGACATTGAGCCGCAGAGCCCTTTCAACGAACTCCGTGAGCAGGTGCCGCCGCTGGACGTGTTTGCCCTCGGCGTTTGCTTTTTCATCCTTGCTTGGCGAGTGCCACCTTGGAGCCGATCTGGCCTGTTTCCAGAATGCTATCCTTCGCTTTTTATGCCTTCAAAGCGCGGCCTTGGCATGTCCCATGTCCTTCCACTCGGCGCTTTTCAGGTCGAGCCCTGCCTCTGGACGCTACTTTCGTGTATGTCCAGCAGCGTGGGCCTCCCAGCCGCTTGTGCTTCAAGACGCCGCGCTGTGAGTCACCGGAAATGTCCCACTAAGATGGAATTCCACCACTTCTCAATGCCTGGCATAAGAGACACCTCTCGCCGGAGGATCGTGGATCTGAGCGTTTTTGTTGCTTCAGCATTAGATTTGCAGTAGGGCGTCGGACAGGCGATGGAACTTGTGAAGGATATGGCGGGAATCTTAGTGTGTCGGGTGGTGTGATTTGGTTGTCCAAGAGTCTTCTGCTTCAGGTTGCGGCCAACCCGCGCCAGAGGCCGTCAGTGCAGGATTGTCTAGCATCTGCGTGGTGGGCTGCTCAGCGTGCGTTGCCACGTGCCCATGTTCTACACACGCCATTTTTGCTCCCGTTTTCGGATCTTTTCCAGGTTATTCCCACTGCGAAATGATCCAGCTCAGTCCTTGAATGGGCTTCATCGCTGTGTCGCCGCACGACCCTTTTCTTGGCTCTGGGACTTCGGTCACTGGCTTTTCAGGTGCCCACGCACCCTGCAGCGACCACTGAGCACGGAGGCTCTGAGAGAGAGAGAGAGAGAGAGAGGGGGCCGTTGCGTCATGTTGCGTCTTCCTCTTCGCACGTGCTTCCGAGGTGCTGCTTCGTCAACTGTTCCTGCGGATGATATGGTGACCGAAATGGCTCGGATGGACTTGGGCGCACCCTGCCTGGTACAGGTTCTTTTTCCGGCACAGAATCGGACTTACGACTGCGGTTCCCTTTTTTTTTTTTACAACATGAAGGTTGTCAAGGACGTAGGTCAAATTGTGAGTTTTTCTGTCTGCACTTTTTCTGACGCGGGGTGCACGCGTGCGTGCATCTGGGTGAGATCTGAGCGTACTGCACTCCATGTTTCGCTGTTTGTGATTTGTGTACATGCATGTCAGCAACTGTGCTCACAGGGCTAGCTAGTGTGTCTTGCGGGCAAGACATGTGTTGCCTGTTGTGTTTCAATGTATGCATCACTTTAGATGGTTGGGGCACGTCGTGTGGACTTGGCCTGTCCGACTTCGGCCCATTTTCGCTTCTCCCACCCTCCACAACCCTCGAAAATGAGGTCAGGGGGGGGGATCATGTGCGACTAGACCTGGCGACTGTGTCATGGTCCAGGGGGCGAGTGTGCCTCCCTAGTTGTGGACGTCTAGATTTTGTGCCGACCACCATTCAGCAAAACATATCAAAGAATGTCTCCTTGGGCAGGGCTGGGTTTTCGCTTATTCAAGTACAGGGAAGATCTCTGCAGGCAAGACTCAGCGATGAAGCAGCCAATCGCCTTGGAGTTGCGATTGGGGAGCCGGTGGTTGAGCTGCATTTTTTAATTTTCTATTTTCTGGTTTGGGGGGAACGTGCAGATTATTGCGTGGAAGTGTGTCCAATGCAGGAGATAATTCCAGGATGCGTGGGCGTATTACATATCTCCGCGAAGAGGGCAGCAGATCTCGAGTACACGCCCGGCCATCAAGTTCGCGTGAAGGAAGTCGAAAAGGGTTCAATATTGGTTGATCTTGGCGGCGGCGAGGACGCCTGGGTAAATCAATTGGAAGTGTCCATCACGTAGGCAGGGACTCAACCTGTGTCGAAAGTCGGGTGGGGGGGGGGGTCGAAAAGTGCAACTTTCATTTTTGAACCCCCCTGCCTCCAGGCGCATGGGGGATGTGGCGACGAAGCCTGGGTAAATGCCGTGGAGGTGCAGGCGGAAAAGGGGTGGGGACATCATTAAGTGCAATTTTCGTTTTTCAACCCCCCCTTCCCTTCGGGCATGGGGGGATGACTGCGGGTGCCATCGGGTGCCAACTCCAGTGACCTTAGGCACCACAAGCGTGATGCCGGTGACAAGGTCGGCTTCTCTTCGGATTCAGGCTTTTTATGGCTGTTTGGTATCAGAGCCTTGCATGTTTCATGCCAGTTGCGTCAGGCTGCAGACTCTTCGTGTTTGGAGCTCAAGCATTCCTGGGTTAGCGCACTGCCTTGACTTTCTTGCTGGCTGCATTGCTGTGGGAGTGTTGCAGGTGGCTTGGGAGGGTCGTCTGAGATGAGCTTGACAGTAAACTGGGACCAGAAGTGGATGGATCCATATTCACAGGATCCTGCAGTGCACGTCGAGTCTCTCAGCTTCTTTTGAATTCCTGTGGCAGAGGAAGTTCGAAGTTAAAATAACTTGGAGCCGCAAGCCTGAGATCACCTGAAAAGTCAGAACCATAGCGAATCGCACAAGAGTTAATGCAGCCGGCTGGAATCATCAGAGCCACGTGTGGCTAACCTTCAGAATGGCGGCTGTGCCTTGAGCTGGCGAGGGATTGTGGAGTGGACGCCGTCACCGTCTGATTAAGTACAAGCAAGTGTCCGGCAGACAGATTGGAGCATGTATTCGGTTCGCGCCCGCGGAAGAGGAGTAGGCCACTTTGTAAGCACCAGCATGGCGACTGTCGGACACTTATTGCTGCAGGGGTGTTGTGCAACGAAGGCGCTGGAGTGTTGAGTCTAAGTAGCTCGTAGCTGGCCGCAACCACGTTGGACGATGCAGGACTGCTTGTTCTATCAACTGTATAATACTTTCGGTTCACCGAGGAAGTGGGTTCCATGGAGAATAAATATGTCGGATGGTACTTGCAACCAAGGGCGCCGATCTTGTTTCTGTCCAACCTATTTTGATGGCAGATCAGTCTGAGATTGAGTAGTGTCAAGTTCTTCCACAGCCGGCACTCTGGAAGGTGTCTCCTTTTTCAAGGGTAGAGCTTGTTTGTTCCTCCATGCTGCAATAGTGTTTGTCACTGCAGCTTTGAAGACTCATTGTGTGTTTCTCCGATCCTGGCAGGGTTGTACGACTGTTCGCAGGCATGGCAAGGAGGTGCGGCTTTTTACTGCTGATTAGTTGCCCTGGCAGCACCGCGAACGTGATCTATTGTTCAAACGGCAGAGCTTCAGCTCAAGGACTGTGTAGCTTATGTCAATGTCGACGCAGGTCGAACGCTGCAGGACAGTTTCGTAGCCGGGGCAGTGTCACCTCAGAGCATGAACGCAGAAGGCCCTTTTGGTTCAGAAACCGAGAGTGGCTTCCTTTAGCCAATTTTGCCCTCGCGCTGCTGAGAGGGACTTAGACTAGACGGTGGCGGGGAGCCTCTGGATGGCTGAGAGCAAGGCTTTGAATTTGGCTGTTGCTGGGCAGACCTCCGAGGCAGAGCCTGAGCATGGGATTTCTCAGAGAGAGATTTCCATGTAGGGATTTCAGTCTGGAGAAACCAGGTGGAGCTACCCCTCCGCTGGCATCGCTGGTAAAATCTTCTTCCTGCCGTGGGTTTTGCATGATCAACAAAGACATCTTTAAGCCTTTGACATTTCCGATACTTGCCGCTAGTTCCCGAGAGTGGGACGTGCGCATGTTGGACATGCTGGATGCTGCCCAAGATTCCGATAGAACGATAGTAACTCGAAGCGGCTCTTGACATCTCTGTAGGCGGCTTTAGGTCTAGGGTCCCAACACAAAGCCAGCGATCAAAGCCGCAGCCAAGAGACTTCGTACCCATACCCTAGTTTCGGCCTGTTCGGCCACCTGAGCCATGAGCACGTCAGATCGCTTGTACCTGGAGGACGCCTGCCCTACCTTGCAAAGACTTCTGCAAAGGCAGGGTGCGGCTAGTTCGCATAGCACGCGATAGTCGCGGACCGAGGCCACTCAGATCTCAAGCGCCGAGGTCTGCCGGTTCAACTCCTAGCTACTAGACATTTAACTTTAGTAGTTGCTTGGAGAGCTGAGGCTACTAGACTTTCACTCGAAGCCCACTCGCAGTGTCATTGCATCGCTTGGACTCATATTGCCCACTGTAGGGCTCTGGGTCAAAAGGGTTGGGCAATCCTTGGAGTCTTCCTCGGATGGGGCAAGCTTGAAAACCTGTTGGGCCCTGGCAGTTTGGTCGAAGAGCCGGGCGCCAAGCTGGATGACAGCGACTTCCTGGACTTCGAGGCGGCCTTGAAAAGACTCGCACAGAAAGGGCTTGTTTATGGGATCCGGGGGGATGTGCCTGAAATTGCCTTGCCCCTGCAGGTGGCCTTCTCAACGGCGATGGAGGGAGAGACCTTGAAACTCAAGGCTCCGATCTTTCATGGAGAGTTGCTGCGATGTGCACCTTGGCGCCAATCTCACGGGCTCCAGGTTTTCTACGAGTTCCTGGCCAACGTCCTGGAGCACGGGTCCAAGGACCGGTGTTGGCTGTAGGGACTCTGACCTGGTGAGTTGTGTGATATTGTGTGATGAGTTCAAAGACAGGGATGAAATCTGGGATGCTAAACAGATTCAAGCCGGCCAATCTTGTGCAATAGAACTCTGTCATAAAGGAGCTCTTGCAGCAAGTCTGGGCTGATCTTCCACTGCGCTTTGCCCCTGTCTCCGGTTCGGAGCTTGAAGTGGTTCTGAACACAGCTGCCCTGGCGGAGAACCAGGACCTGGCGACTTGGCAGTCAAGAAGACTAGCTCCAAGTACGCCGAGTGGAACTTGTTGTCGCATGCTGCTTGCCTTCTCTCCTTCAGTGCCCTGCCATCTTGCATGGGCGATTATGCGATGCATCGAGGCAAGGCGCTGCGTGCAGCAGGTCGCCACCACCAGGATCTGGCTGTTCCTTGACAGCTTGTCATGCTTAGAGCATCCCTCACTCAGACGGAGCAACTGGGAGGCCTGGGAAGGGAGAGCCCTCGGGTGTCGTAGCGTGCAGGTTAGTCGGACCTTTGGTGGCGCCTTTGCGCTGGCTGCGCGAAGCTGTGGCGACTGGCGACAAGGCTGCCGCAGCTGCGCCGCAGAATGCCCAGCAAGCACGCAAGGACGCTGCTCGGACTCAACATCTGGTGGCAGTCTTGCTTGGCGACATCTGCATCCAAGCTGACAAGGCCATGGGACAGCCGCCTGCGCCGATCGTCTTGCACGTGCGGCAGCAAGAGACCTGCTGCATTGCCAGCTGCTTGGGTGAGGCTTCCGCTCTTGATGTGCGTGGAGTCAAGAGTTGTGGCTCGTAAGGTACCAAAGGAGGATCGCATACTGGTGATCTTGTCAATCCACTTGGAGGACGATGTCGATGTGGCCTTAGGTAGAGCATTTTGCCGCGGCCCGAGCGGGTGCTAGCTCTTTCGCGCTTTTGCTTCGGGTGTAAAGTTGTGTTGTGATGAGTCCACAAAGAAGGAGGACTCTTAGACGCCCCTCTGACGACTCTGAGGCCAGGAATTTGCAGAGACCAACCGATGCTTGCCTTCAGTACCGGCGATGGTTCATACAGGTTTGTTGCTTCTCGATTTTCAAGGCCAGGCCCCGAAAGAAGTGTGCCAGCAACCGAGGCAAGGGCAACGAGTTCTCCCTACCGCCGCCGGCTTAGTGTGAGTGTGAGGCAAAGGGGGTCGTGGGACTCGGATGGCTTGCACGCGACTTGCCCGGCTCGGCTCAAGCCAACTGGCAGCGGTCCTCGATTGTCGGTCCACTGCCCTGGCGCCAGCCGCTCGGAGTCGGGAGCACACAGTGTCTGAGTTCCCGTCCTGGCGCCTGTCTTTTTGAGGAAATGAAGCGGATCGCAGTGCTCTCGGTAGCATACCTGCTGGGTGCCGCGGCAAGCGATGCCGCGCCAAAACAGTACCCAGTAACGAAGGCCGCAGAGACGTGCAGCTCCGTACGCCTTCCCGGACCACGAGAGCTCTGTTGCAGGTTGTCAACTTGCTCAAGGATATGCAGAAGAAGCTCGAGGAAGAAGCAGAAAAGGACGAGGAGGTTGACGAGAAGATGAAGTGCTGGTGCAAGGCTGGGCTGTGATGCTGGTGTTGTCCAGCGCAGCGTGAAGTGCCAATGTGCCCGACTTGGGATTTCTGCGAGTTGCCAGGAGACGCAGCAGTCGAAGGCAGAGACGCTCGGCAGAAGAGACACGTCGGATGCACGGTGTGACATGGTTTCATGGCACTTCAAGCCTTATGCCTTATGCATTCAGTTCCCTCGAGGTCCGTAACCTGTGTAAGGGCGGCCCGGTCTCAGGAGCATCACCAAGATGCAGTCCGAGATGGCCAACCTTGGTGGCCAGATCGACACATCCGCGGCAGACAGCCTGCGCCTGGTGTCGGAGCTGAAGGGTCACGAGGAAGACCTGGCACCTCGGTAGCAAACCCCGCGACGCCGACAGGTGACCTGCTCGATGCGGCGACACCGAGGCCTCCAGCCAGACTTCGCTGGGTGCGGCCGAAGCCCAGCGAAAGAAGCAGCTGGCGAGCTACGAGGACGAAGTGAAGGAGATGGAGGCGCGGTGAAAGTCTTTGCAGCGTCTGCTTTGCAGCGACTCCAGTCTTGACATGCTTGACAGGAGTCGCTCACTGGAGTGAGCGGTGCCTTGCACACTCTGAAAAACAAAGCTTCCTTCCTCTCAACCTCGGCACCTTGACTGGCACTTGCGGTCGCCTACGTCTTCCTGCCCATCCATGATTCTCCCTCAGGCATCGGCTGCCAAGCAGGATGCATTGGAGCTGGTGAAGAAGCTCCAGCGGAAGCATTCCAACATCTTGAATCTCGGGCTTTTGGTACGCACAACGCTTACAAATCGCTGTTTTGTTGTTTATTGATCGGTGCCTGTCTTTTCAAGGATGGGTGTGGTGACGCCCCGGCAGCGGAAGCTGATGCTCGCCATGACCTCGAGGCGCCTCGACGTCGATGCTTCGATGGAGGGCCCGGCGACAGGCCGCGGCCGGAACAGGGAAGCCCCCAGTGCGCTGTTCGGTGCTTGCGCGGAGCCTTCGAGTGCAGGAGAAGTGGTCGGCGTGCTGTCGTCCATGAAGGACGGGCCTCGACTTTCGAGCAGAGAAGTGCCGCAGCCTTCGAGTGCAGGACACCTTCGAGCAGAATTTGAACCGAACGCGGGCAGAGGAGGCAGAGAGCACGGAGACGTTCCAGGCTCTGCGCAAGGCGAAGGAGACTGAGATCCACGCCACTGAGGAGGTGCCGCAGAGTGAAAGCCCTACAACGTGATACGTTCCTGGCGGGCACGTGCATCTGCACGGATGGGCTTTGCCAGGCCATCGTGTCCAAAAAGTCTCAGAAAGCCGAAGCAGACAAGAAAAAGGCTTGGGCAGCCGAGACCCTTCAGGATGCAAAGGCCTACGACTGGTGCTGTCTTTTGTCTGGGTCATGTCACGATGTCGTATGGGAAAGGCCAGCCTTCTCTCCGACCAGCAATTCCTCCAGGATGCCAAGGACCCCTCTGTTATTTCTCCACGTGTGGGGCTTCCCTAAGAGTGAATTGCAACAGGAGAAGTGTGCGGCTCACGAAGCGGAGTATGCGGAGCGTGTGGCTGCGCGCAACGAAGAGATCACTGGGTGCTCGAAGGCGTCGACAGTTGGTGGAGCTAACCCGCAGCATCCAACTCACGTCTTCTGCAAGGCCATAGCCATGCTCAGTGATGACTCCGCCCGAGACACATTCAGTCCGCGACTAATGCCAAACTGTTTGCATGGATCGCATCCAGCCAGCAGCCGCGATGCATGGCTTTACGGCAGGCCGAACTTTCAATGCTGGCGCCATGTTCCTCCAAGTGGACGCCAGCAAAGAGCACCGGGTGGCTGCGAGCGAGACCCTGACGGAGGCAGCCGCCAAGTTGCACGACTCCCGGTCTTGGCCTCGGCTTTCGGTGCTCGGTGCCACCAGGTATTTCTTTCTTCAGGGGCCCAGTTGCTCACTCCGAGGCTCGCGGCACTGGCGAGGATGGTGCGCACCGACTCGCTGGATGCGGTCAAGAAGGCTGTGGCACAAATGATTCTTCAAGACTTCGAGCAAGTATCACGCCCCAGGAAATCGACAAGCTGACAGCCCAGCTGAAAGAAGTGCAGAAGGATAGAAGAGAAGATGTTTCTGGAGCCTTTAGAACAATTGGCAGATCTCTCGACTCTTCGAGGACGAGGTGAAGAGCAAGGACTCCTGTGTCCAGCGCCTTCACGAGAACACTCTCGCGACTGGGCTTGCAAATAACCGCTCCCTGTCTTCGCCTGTGATGTGGAATCCCGAGGATACCGAGCAGTCGACGGTTGCCAAGACTCAAAGCGGCAGCAAGCTGACAGGTCTTCAGGCCAGATTTCTGCCCAGACTCGTGAGCGTCATATTCAGGCCATCGCTTGCTTGCAATGGGATCTCTGCTCGGTTGCAAGACTTCTTCCAACCTTGTGGGTCGGTAATCCTTCTAACTTGCTTTAAGCAGATGGCGAAGCACACGTGGCTACACCTCACGAGCGCAGAGTTTTTTCCGTCAGAGACGTTGTGACGTTCGTCCTGAAGGACCTGGCAGCAACGAGCGACGCCTCGGCCAAGACGCTGTCGATGGAGATCGAGGACCTGAAGTCCGAGCTCAAGACGGCCAAGACCGACATGGAGCTGAGGCAAAACGAGCCCCTAGGCTCAGCCTTGCTCCTTAGGGCCCCACAGGTCTTTGGACTCCTGCCACAACTAAGGTCCCATGCCATGATCGAGGACCAGGTCCGAACGCAGAGGCGAGGGTGCTCGGATTTCGGGATGCCCGGAAGGCGCCGAAGCCGACAATTTTCGGATTTGTGCTACGGGATGCTACGGGCATCTCAGAGACCATCGATGGTGATGGCCAGGGTGATGAGGGCACGGATAGTGAGAATGACGATGATGACAGTCATGATTGTCATGGTGATGGTGCTGACGCGGATGATGAGCGTGGCGAAGAAGAAAGCAGTGATGTTTCCGCCGAAGCTTGTGAGCATTCGTATAGCTTCTTCCTCTTACTGCCACAACGTGTTCCTCGATGGCGGCTGTGGCCCTGAAGGCTTCTAACTCGTGCAGCAGACGTGTTGCACGGGGTGTACGGCGCCAGCCTGCTGCAGGCACAGGGCAGAGAGAGAGGGTCCAGGGCCCAAACTTCTGGGCTCTTGTCGGGCGGAGTTTCTGAGCCGAGAGGAGAAACCCGAAGGGTTCAAAGACTACCAGCGCCAAAGCGGCTCCGTGGGCATCATTTCCATGCTCCACCAGATCATTGGCGACGCCAAGATCATGGAGACAAAGGCGAGGGTAAGCCTCTCAGATGCTCATTCCACGGCTGCAGCGCGCCGAAGTCGTCGTGGGGGAATGTGAATTGTTTAAAGCCGGCTGCCGTACAGCGCCTCGGTGCAGAGCCCAGGCAGACCTGAACGCATCCCTAGCTGACTACGAGGGCTTCAAGGCGGATGCAACGTCTGCTATTGCCAAGAAGGAGAAATCGGGACTCTCGTGAAGCCATGAGCTTCTGGACATGGAGATTGCACAGGAGCAGAGTTTGGTGGACCTCGCCGTGCAGAAGTCTGAGGCGAAGTCCGATGCGCTTGAAATGAAGAAGGAGGCAAAGATGGCATCTGACTGCTTCCGACGGATCCAAATGCAGCGCATGGTTCATGCCGTGCACCAGGTCAAGAGGCTCAGTCAGGAGTTGGATGACCTCTCAGCGACAAAGTCTGCACTGAAAGAGGCCAGAGGCTATGCGGTTTGTAGCCACTTTGGTAAGTTTAGCTCACTTTGGAGCTGCAGGAGTGTGACTTCCTCGTCACCAACTTCGAGTTGCGACAAGATGCTCGCTCCCAGGCCCGCTTTCCTTGTGCTCGAATGAGCTCGAAGCTGTGTCTTTCACGGCACGTCCTTTTGATACTCTTGGATCCACCGGTTTATGTGGAACCGCGTCGACAGCTCGAAAGCTGTCCATGGGCGGCGCACATGATACCACCGACAGCCGCACCAGCCGCGCGTACGCGGCCATGCATCGCGGCTGACGATCGCCAACCTGTTTCCGTGTCCTGCCACATTGAACTCTGGAATCTCTTGGCCGCGCCTATGTGAGCCCTGCTGCATGGAGGAAATTGAAGCTCTACACACGGCGAAAGCTGTGCTGAGCAGCTTGGCTGTAAGTTCGTCGAATCACCGATTCGTACAGATTCGGGCTGCACGGGATTCGAAATGCTGGCGCTGCTGTCGGTTCCATTCTCTGAGGTGGCATGAAGACCGATGGTGAGATCGCATAACTTGGACCGCCCGCATCTTCGACGCAGACGGCCAAAAGCTTGCAGACTCTTAGTTGTCGGTGCTGTTGTATCCTGCAGTGGTGACCCGGATAGACTCTAAGTTGGTTTGCGCAAGCTCCCGAGCGATCGGCTCGAAACATACATGGACTCACACACAAGTGTAAAGACGGACTAAGCTGACTACACTATCATCGCTTTATGCCATTCACTGGTAGCACAGTCGGATGTCAACGGATGGCTCAATGCCATGAAGCAGCGACGTTGCTGCCTCCCGAGACCAAAAGCACAGAGGTGGCCGAGGTCCTGCAGTTTGGTTACTTGCAGCTTGCAGCTTTGTCATCTGACCCCTCTATGCATTCAGGCATGGAAGAGGCGACGCAGATGTGCCCAGTTAGCCTTGCCAGCGCTGCTTATCGCAGTGCCGCTGGTGTGGTGGAGGCTTGAGCGGGACGCGGCTCAGGGACACGACAAGAAATTCCATTGTGGCCAAGCGGGGTTCTGCTGAGCCTCAGTTCAAACGGTGACTGTGCGAGGCATCAGTCGACGGCCAGCTCACCCAAGTTGGAGCCTGTGGCCCTTCCGGACGTACAGCAGCTGAGACTCGGCAGCTTTCGTCTCTCATGGAGACGTCCTTGCAGCATAGTAGAAGAGTGGAAGGTTGTATCGGCTTTGACACGTCTGCAGCACTTGCCCCCATGCTCAGGATCAGCTTGGCTGCTGCTCTGGATCCAGAAGAAGAGGTTTTGCACGCCTTGGGCTTCGAGAACTCAAGCGACGACTTTCGAACCTCGGAAGCCCGGCAAAGACTAGGACTCCTCCTTGTCGGAGCTGGTAGACAGCCATGACGCCCATGCCCGGTTCTGGTAGACAGGGCCCCTGCTCTGAGGTAAGGCGTAAGCTGCAGGCTGCGGGACTGCAGCCTCTCAGGGAGGCCTGCCTCAATCTGCAGCTTCAAGCAACACGGCTGGAAGCCCCTTTCACAGGCCCTAGAGGCGGAGACGGAGTACGATGCCAGCGCCAACATCGGCGTGGCAGCAGCTCGGCCTCTGATGCTCTGGGGCTTTTCATTCTCGGCAGGGTGAAATAAAAACTTGGTCTTAGGCTCTGGACACGCTGTCGTGAACGCTGTCGTGGCCGGGGCGAACTGAGGTTTGCGTTGTGGACGTGGGCCAGACCTTGTTCCAGTTGGGCCAAGGGCTGCTGGCGATCAATGCAGCCAGCATCAGCTGCATCACTGGTGCCAATGTCAGTCCTTGGATTGCAGGAAGAGACAGGTCCAATTTGAATTGATTAGTTTAGTATTTTGGCATGGCAAGGTTTCCATGCTCAGAGCCCTTTCTCCTGTGTTTTCGAGGTGCTGCTGACAAGCAGGCGCATGCCCCAGGCAGCAACATGTCGTGTAAAATGCCAGCGGCCCATGTGTTGAGGCTTGCAGCGTCTCAGTGTCCTATGCGATTGCAGCATCTCGTCTGCAGTTTGTGCATTTGGCTCCTGCTCGTGCTTGCAATTCTTTCCGGTACATTGCAAGCTTTGAGTTATTCCCTGCCGTGACTGCGTGCCGAGGGAATTGTGTGGGCCGTCAGCTTTGCCACCGACGCCATCTCGCAGTGCGCAGGCTCCTTGAACCTTCAGGCAGTTGCTCGACTCCCAACTAAGTGCAGCTGTGCAGCTGAGCTGGAGCATGCGGGCCCCGTTGTGCTCTGAGGCTTGTGCAACGGATTTGACGGTGAACCTCGGCTCCTGGGCCTTTCTGTCATCCTCCATCAGTTCCATGGTGCTCAACTGCCCCACGAGCCGCTCAGAGTGAAGTGCTGCGTAGCGGTGTAGCTTTCGGAGATGTGTGGAGATGAGGCACAGAACCGCACACGCTGCAGTCGCTATCGAAGCTTGGGCTGCAAGCTGATTTGTCTTCTTCCTTCTCTTGTCGCTCTGTCGAGATTTGTGCAACTATCTGCTTGTATAAGCGTTTTATATCTCTCTCTATCTCTCTCTCTGTCTCTCTGGGTTTTCCGTGGCCGACTCTCCTGACATGCAGCCCAGGATGCTCGGCGGACGACGCTTAGGCCAGAGAGTCTGTGCTTGGCGGTTTTGCATTGACTTAGTAAGGGCTTTCTGGCTGATCCTCACGCTCCAGACTGGGGCCAGCTTGCTTGGAGTGGCGGTTTCCAGGGAACAGGTCGGTGCATGAACTGCACCTTTGGCCTCCAGGACTTGAGGTGTCGATGATGCTTCAGGGTGACTCTGCCGACCACGGCAGAGCGTCAAGTTCTGTTGCGGAAAGCAGAGCCCCGTCATATGGACTCTACGCACCTCCGTCCTGCATAGCCGCCGTTGTCAGTAAAGTCGAGTCCCAAGAAAGCAGGTGGTGCAGATGCCGTGCATGTCAAGAAGCTGGCGCCGGACCCAATCGTGGAGCGAGAAGCGAGCACGCTGGACATGATAGAAGAGATCAAGCAACACAAGGAAGATGAGGCAAGCCGAGAAAGCTTGTTTTGATGAGAGTGGCATTGAGTGGCCCACGTTTCATGATACCGTGTCCTGTGTGAGGAGATCCGAAGTGCGCTGAAAGCGACCTGCTTCTTCGACGTAGGCCATCCGGCCTCATCAGGCTTACCATGCACTGCTTGCAGCCGACAGCAAAGCATACGACACACTATAGAAGAAGACATTGCAGTGGTTCTATCTGGCTTTCCTGAAATGGCACAATGACATCGCCGCGAACTTGTCCTTGTCGTCCAGCGGTGATGTCATTTTACCTTCGCAGCGAGTCATACACAGCTCGTGGCATCCCTGTGTTCTAAGGTCATGCTGCATTCTGGGCGGCTCGGGTCGGCACGAGCATCACTCAGGCCCATGCTGGAGCTGGACCCGATTGTGACGGTGTGTTCGATCCCTCGCCGACATCTCGAAAGTTTGCTGCTTGATGGCAGGCCACTTTGGATTGCACAGAGGCGAACTTCGCCAGTGCAGGCGAGGCAGGAAAGTTTCTCGGCAGGCTAAGGCACCGAGTCCTCCCCTGTGCATCCGTAGACATCGCCATGGAGATCCAAGGATGTCCTGCTCAGTTGATGTAAGCGGAATTATTGGGGCAGCTGCCTTTCTTGGCAGCACCATCGCTCTAACAGTGGCTGGCTGCCCAGCAGCGCTTGACAAGGACAGGAACTCTCCCAGACAAATAGCCCAACTCTAGAGGTCTTTGTGCTCAGACCGAGCCTTTGTCATGTCGCTTCCCTTGTGCTTCTCGTGACATCACACTCTGATCGCAAACCCGTGCATTCCCACCCCATACCCGGACAGGCGAAAGGAAGCTGTAGAGCTGGGTGTTTGTCCCGCGACGGAGTATGCTGGGATGGCGGGTTAAAGTTCTCTTCACCGGAGGCTGGTGATGTGATGAGTGAGTCGGATGACTTGCAGGTACAAGATGCTACAAGCACAAGTTGCATAAGCATATCCGCTTGTGTCTCCGAAGGACGTCAGCAACACGCTGTGTGCAGCTGCTATCATTGACACCGCAACATGGCGAAAGGACTTGGATTGTCCTGGCAGTTGCCTGTGAAACAGACGCATTGAGATTGTGCCCGACATCGAGTCATGCGCCTATTTCTGAAACCAAGGTTGGAGTGGTTGGATACCTGGCCCAATCCTTCTCCAGCATCGGGTCAACCTGTCACAAGCTCGCTCAGCATGTGTGATCTATGCTGTCAAAAGTCAGTGCATCCCGACTCCAATGCGGGTTGGACTTTGAGGCCAACGTGTCTCTCGTAGCTGTTGTGTGGGCGTCTGTCTAGCCGTCAAAGCACGCCGCGCAAAGAAGACTCTGACATTGATGCCTTATGCTTCTCTGTCGGTGCAAGGGTTTGGTCCCGTGCTCTCTGGTGAACCGGTGTCCGAGTTTCACATCGGTGCTCACGGTGTTCTCAGGTGCTCCTTCCACGAGGCCAAGGACAAAGACATGTTGAGCAACTTGCGAGGCAGCGGCACTCTGGCGCACGCGTTGATTTGTGTTTCATGTTGAGACGGGAGTCTGCCCAAGAGGTTTGAACGTCAGCACAAACCCCAATGTGGGCTGGCTAACCCTGACGCTGACTGACCAGTTGGAGCCTCATGCTTCACAGCAGCCACAAGCGAGAGACATTTAAGTTGAAGCGTAGCCAGTCTGTAGTCATTCCAGCATGTGGAGGCGTAGAGCTGCAAGAAGAGCATCCCCTGTAAATCTGGTTGTTACCGTCTATCTTGTTTATGGAAGTTGCGTGATTTTGCTTGGGGCTCCATTAGAACAGCCATGTTACGTCATTTCGTTTGTCTTGCCCAGCTGGGCGAGGTCATTGAAGGCCGACGGCGGTTTACTTAATTGCCTTCTCACAGCGTTATAAGAAATTGTAAGACTGATGCTTCTTTTTCCGTGGCCTGTAACGGGTTCCACGATAGTGAGGCTGGAGTAGGTGTCATCAGGGCGGCGATAGGTGCCGCCCTGGAGAGGGAAACACATCCTGATGGCATTCCTCCGTATGTCATACTTGTGCAGGGACTTTGGGAATAATGTTGCATTTCCTTCGTTCTGTTGCTAGTCTACCGGGGGAGTGCCTCTTTCAAGCAAGTCAGTCCGATTTCCCTCTGCGCGCTTATCACCATGAGCATAGAAGGCTCCGAGACAGTCACACGTACGGTTAGGTAACAAGCTGTGGACAGCAATTGAGGCACGTGCGCGGAGCCACAGAGGAACGGGCAGTTGCGAGCGTGGTGGTGCGAAGCTTCCCAGGGTCGTGCAGTAATCCACGTGGTGAGACGCAGCGGCGCCTTTGAGAGAATTTTGCAAGAGTTGCCAGGAGCGTCTGTGGGCTCTTGCTCGTCCTGCCGGATGCAGAGCTGCTCAGTTTGGGATTGCTCGTTGCAAGCGGAAGCCTCGAGGTCATGACTTTCCGAAACTTCTTTCTCTTCCACCTGCCTCGCCCTTAGTTGGCCTTATAAGAAGTACTTGAAGTTCCTGCTTTCTGCCTTCCTTCTGGCCTGCGCAGGAAGCACACGAAGAGCTACCTTCATTCCAGGCCTGGGCCCGGCCAGCCGGAAGCGGCAGCAGAAGCCCAAACGAAGTCCGCATCCTAGCGCGCGCGGGGGCGGGCGGCGCGGGAGGCTCCGGAAGCGACTTGACCACTGGCAGCAGCAGATCAGCAAAGCTCGTCGACGGCGGGCCCAGGCTCGAAGTGTCTGCGCGACCTGTGCGATGCCGTTTTCCGCCTGCGATCGCTGACTGGAAGCCTTTGGCTGCAGCGGGAAGGGCACTAGGAAAGGTGCACGGCCTTTGAATCCGAAAGTGGAGCCCTGGAAAGTTCTAGCCTTGGGACGCAGTGCACTGGCAGTGCAGTGCCTTCCTCCCTTTTTCTGGCCGTCTCGTCAGCGACTTCTGTCAGGTCCAGCCATGGCCTCGCGTCTTTTGACGACGCTGCTTCTCTGTGCCGTCTGCCAAGAGAGGGCTGAGGGGAAACTTGAGACGCTGTTTTTTGGGCCGGCCGAAGCTTGCAGGTGGCGGCCATGTACTTCGGGCAAAGTCTTCTGGAAGCCTTCGTGGCGCCAGCAAAGCAGGTGACTCCGCTGCCGCGGTTGATCTTCCCAAAAAATACACCTCTGGTGTCGAGGCATCGCTACGATCACGAGCACCAGCCGTGTCCATGCAGTTTTTCCAGCAAGAGCCGAAGGCTGGCCGGGACTCGGATAGCGAGGACACAAGAATCACTCCACTTGTCCGCAGGAAGCGCCAACTGAGCCGCCAAAAGGGCAACCATCGTCACCGCAGGGCGCTGGCTCCTCGTCGTGCAAGTCGCAGCTGCAATCAGGCTCATCATCTTGTCAATCCTCCCACAGGAGAAGATTTGTCTCTTACTCTTTTCGGGTTTCAAGTCTGAGCAGCTGAGGGGAGTACATCGCCATTATCGTCCCTAGCTCAGCCTAGTGACTCTAGTGCAGGCAGCTGCCACAGAGGCCTTTTGCTTTGCACCAGTGCCCCCGCAGATCGGAGTGATCATCATTGCGGCACCCTTCTTCCTCTTCACCCCGCCGGACGACTCGGTCGAGAGGTTCGTCGAAAAGGAGGTGCGATAGTTCTACCGGAGCCACGGCAAACTTAACTCCTACATGACTTGCGCATCTCTTCCAGGCAGTGTCGGGCATTTCATGAAAAGCTGACGAGGGTTTGGCAGACTTATTCGTTGTATTCAGCTAGCTTGTATAAATTTGCGTCCGAGACAAAAAGCACCAGACTTTTCGCGACACTGCTCGAAAACAGTGATGCTCGAATCTGCTGTGATGACGGGAGCTTGCAGGGCAGCCCGCACTAATCTCCAGCCAAAGCTGACAGGAAAAGCGCCGACTCATTAGCGGCAAGGTTCGGCAATGTGTGGCAACACATGTGATTCTGCTCGTAGGCGACGCAGACTTGTCCTCAGGAGTTCGTGCCGCCTTCTCGCAGCACGGGCGCGGTGTGAGAGCCTGTGCAGTGCGCAGCTGCACGCAGCTTGCATCGCTTAAAAAGCGAGCACTTTTCGGTGCTCTTCAGGCCGCTTGCCTGTGTGTTGTGCTCTTGAGCTGCATGCATGGATCCAGAGGGCACGAGCATCGGTGTCTTAGCTTTTTTTTCCGGACGAGCATCATAGTTTCGGCTCCTCAGTCATGAGTATCGGCGCAAGGCGATTCTGACAACAGTCAATCAGTATTTTCCTGCGGTCGAGCCCGAAGCAATGGTTGGGGCAGAATCCCGTCTGCAAGTCAGGGCATACTGAGGTTTGTCTCAACGACATGTCTCTGGCAATATTTCGTCCTTGACTGAGTTCCATAAGCTATAAATTGGCTGGTTGTGACATTTTGCAACCTGAGCTGGCATTGCATTCGCAGGTTGTCCCTGCCACCCTGTGCTATTGCCCTCGAGGTGACAGATCTTTCGACCCACATACGACAACCCTCTAGAAGCGGGCTCTGATTTTGTGGCACAGATTGGAGCATTGGTGTTTCCAAGGCACCGTTTTGCTGGGCCTCATGTCAGCCAAGGACGGTGCAACGGCCGGATGGCTCTTGAAGCGCTCTGCTGCTTTTCGCGACCGCTGGGTGCGTCATTGGTGTGTTTTCAAGTACTCCCAGGACGCCTCCCGTTTTTGGTGGGGAGTCCCGTGTCCCCGCAACACAGGTCGAGCTGTTTGGGGTCGATGTTTTGCCGCTCCTTCTCAAGAAACTCCGCAGACAACGATCGGAAAAGAAGCCAGAGTGGTAGGCTGCAGCTTCGAGAGGAGGAGGATATCTTGGTTCTGGATTGCTACGCGGACGACTCTTGCAGGCATGGGGATCATGGTGGACACAGTCGTAGACCCGGTGTGTGCTGCGTGAATTTCTGTGGAGGAGGCGTCTTTACCACATCTGCATGGGCAAGGGCGCCCGTGTGCTTCGAATAAAGTCTCAGGAGGTCCCAGCTGTGTGGAGCTCACCTGAATCTGTGAAGCACTGCTTTTGATTCCGGTCATTTTGCTGAGGCCTTCCTGAAGTTCAAGCAGCAACGTCCACACAGCTTGATCATCGATGCGGGAGCTCTACATGCAGCATAGAGTTCTTTCTTGACCTGGTGCAAGCAGCGACTATGCAGGAGACGGGCGCCTTTGTCCCTTTTTCATCTTTGACGCCATCGATGCAAATAGCGACTTGGCTGCAGAAGGCACCTATCCTATACGCTCCTCGGCAGGGGAAGGAGACGAGGATGCCCTGTCGGGAAACTCCAAACTCCCCTGAGCCCAGGCCATCGCCTTTGGAACACCACCGTCACCTCGCAGCTGCAGGTCTGAGAGCTTCGGAGAGCGGGAGCGCCCATGTCTTTTAGCCACGGGGCAGGCGCTGGAGTTGAAGAGAAGGTCCGGCTGCTCCCAGGGGATCCCAGGGCCCCATGGCGCTGGGCCGCGCTTGCTTGCCCTGTGAAGGCGTCACCAGGAGGAGCAGCTGCTGCTGCTCGCCTACAACAGGAGGAGTTTGCACGTTTTTGGGGGGCGGAAGTGGTGCCCCAGGAACGATCGAACGAAGATTATCGATTCCATCTTTGTCCCTTGGCTACCAGGGTGGGTGCCGTCCCCTGAATCAGGATTCGTTTCGCCTCGCCTCACTATTGAAACTCATATAATGTCCATGCTTCCTTGGCAGTTGTACGCTGACCAATATGCCTTGACCCGTTTCGATTCCTGGCTGCATCAGGCTTGTCTGGATCAGCGAAAGGTTGGCTGCTGGCCTGCACTGGCATTTCAGCTCCTCGTCGCAGGGTTTCCAACGAATCCAAGGCACTATTTGGTCGGATGGCTTGCGGCGCTACGCCGAGACGTGCCCGGTCTATCATAAAAGGTAGTTTGCAAGCACGGAGCGCACAGGGTCCACCAAGCGCTCGCCTAATTGTTGTTTGCATCAAACCCGTGGGGAAAGTAATGGGCTTGTTCATGTTTGTCTGTACATGCAAGGTCAGGCTTCTCGGGTTCGGATGCGGAGTGGCAGCACGAGTTTCAAGAGCTCTGCGAAGATCGTGGGTGGAAGGACAGCACTTCCTTCTTCACAGCTGTCTGCCTGTACGTATAGGTACGTGGGCAGGTGGTAACCGCAGGGTGAAAGGTGTCATGACCGTTATGCGACAGAAGCTCTGTGCAGGAGGAGAAGGAGATCAATGCTAGCCAATTCGGCAAGCTGCTTTGCAGAATGCGAGCATTCATGCCGTTCCAGTTCTCGTGTCTGTGGAGGAGAGACTTATGATTTACTTGCTTCCAAGATTCCTCAGCAGTGACACCAGCGTCTCGCTCAAAGAGCTCTGCAAGATCCTCGAATGTGTGCAGGGATTATATGACCCACCGGCAACCGACACTTGGCACTGTACAAGCAGACACAAGTTCTTCGTAGCGGTGTGAAATCCATGACGGCGTCAGCCCAAGGATTCGTGGGTGAAGCAAAGTGTCGTGAGCAAGAACTTGCAGCTCAAGAGCAGGCAGACACCTGTACAAGCCAAAATTCAAAGTGCTCTTTCTCCCTTGTTCTGGGGAGGTCGGATATCATCTCGGCCCTGTTCAACTGCTTGAAGTCCAGAGAGACAGGCACCGTTGATCGGTGATTGCACGGCGCAGACCGTTCATGTTCTGGAGCAGTGCCTTGAGTGTGAGGTCGGATCGGATGCGAAGAGTTGCAGCGCTGCACAGCTGAATTATTCCCTGTCGACTGTGGTTTGGATGGTGACGCTGCCCTCTGCGCAGTGAAGGCTATGCTACCCTGTCGGGCTTCGATGGTGATGATGACGATTGGTCAGAAGAGTATCACGAGCTTTGCGAAGAAAAGGGCTGGGACAAGGCCGCACCTCCAGCTTCCGTGATCACAGCCGCAGCCAGCATCCCTCAGACCCTGACAGGACATCGGCTTAGCCCGTGATGATTTCATGGCCTTGCTGGACGATGAATCGTGGCATGAATCACTCGGTCATTAGGAGAACGAAGCTCCTCTGCTCACAGAGCTACGTGGTTGGACCTCCAAGGACTCCATGGGATCAGACGACGAGCTGAAAGCCATGCTGATGGAGCTGCGGATGCCGCGTAAGCGAGCCAGGACCAGACAGGGAGGCACTCGAAAGCAAGATGGCTGCGGTTGGTTCTCAGACGAGCAGCTCGACGTGCATGAATGAATCGGGTTTCCGAAAGAAGTATCGGATCCCGCCAGGAGCCCACGTCAGCAACAAATCCTGCCTGCAGCCCTCATGCTCAGTGCCGCATGGCGAGGACCTTCGATCAGATGTCCCATTCGGCCAAGCAGAGTGCGGCCGGCCGCGTGCGATCGGAGATTTCCGACATGACGCGCCTCTCGTCCGGACACCGTTGAAGTTTCCCAGAGCACACCCCGTCTTGCGTGAGAAGAAGAAGACCGAAAGCACGGCAATTAATGACGTGCCGTGTAATGACTTTAAAGCAGTTTCTTTTGGCGCGGCGTCCCAGGAGGGGAGCTGGTGAAGGAAGCTTTTGCATCTTTGGATGTGCGGCGGAAGGCGGTGCTCGGCTCCCGAGAGTTCAGGCGGCACTTGCGGTTCTTACGTTCGAGCCATCCTAAGCGAAAGCGCGTCATGTCGTCCCACAGGCGCTATGCAGAGATGACAGGCTACGATGGAGGCGGGGCACAGACGAATAGCGATAGGTGGGTCTGCGCATGAACGCGAGACTCCTCAGGAGAGGAATCTTGGCCTGAGCTCTACAAGGAGCTTTGCGACGACTATGGATGGCAGCCCGGAGCAGGGGTTACACTGGAGCAGTTCACAGTGTTTTGGCTACGTTATGCCTGACGTGCGGCAAGAAACAGGCAGAGGGTCCCTACTGACATCGGATTGGGATGGATTGGGCTCTGAAAGGTCTTCATTGGCGACGAGTCGCACTCGTCAGACGATGAACTGCAGCAGCAACCTGAGCATGTGATTCGGGCAGCGCCTGGGTTCTGAGGCAGTGTGGAGATTTGGAGGTCTAGGGTTCATTTGTAGGATGTGTAACTATTTGTAAAGTTGCAGGAGATACATCCGTAAATGCATGACATGCAGTGCATTCACGAGAAGTTTTGAGCAGTGTAGATAGTTGCCATGACATATGGGCGTGGTGTGATCTTTGACATCTGACTACCTTACAACCGACATCTCAATCCCGAAACCCTGTCTGAGATCCCTTCTCGGCTGCCGTTTACATCCCTTGACTGCTGGCTGGAGGTGTCGATTTGGAGGTGTCGATAATTAGCTGCTGTGCACCTAGCAGCATGTCAAGACAGCCTAGCCGTTTTGTGGACGTGGGGCAAAACTTCTTGGAGGGAAGGGTTGAAGTTGCTTTGCTCTCAACCAGCTTGCGTTCCAAGTCACGCTCCTGGCTTATCATCTTCTGTTTCCCAAACCAAGCAAGGCAATACTGTCCCCAACGGGAACCCAGAATTAGACTCTAGGAAACAGGCATCGACCAACAGAGGTTGTGTGGGGAAGCCGTGCGCAGCCAAGCGGGGGAGTGCGGCGGTGGCTTGTTCGGAGCCGTCGAAAACCGAAAACCGCTTGAAGATGGCGAAGCGCTGTGCGTTTGAGCGTTCCGACCCTGGGCCTTGGCGGCCTTGGTGCTCGCGTATCATGGCATCGTCGTCGTCTCGTGTCCCGAGCGTTAGCCAGACAGTTCGCGGAGGTGACTAGACCATTCGCCCATACCAGTTGGCTGCAAGTCCGTGCCGGCACAGATTACATGGAAGGCATCATGCGATTGGCGACTGAGTTGAAGTCTGCATCCCACCCCAGCAGGCGGTCTCCGTTGCAGTTTCCGCCTTGCCCGATGTCATGTGGCATTTTGCACATATCCGCGTGATGTTTGTATGTCGTATGTGTGTATGTATGTATGTATGTATGTATGTATGTATGTATGTATGTATGTATGTATGTATGTATGTATGTATGTATGTATGTATAAGCATCTCGGCTGAAATGACTGGATGGGCCTGGAGGGCCTTCCTACGCCTCGCCCTTTGGGGCCTCCATATCTTGATTTTTCAGTGGTTGCCTTTGGGGCTTCTGAGAGGGCTGCGTGCGCTGAGGCCGGGGCTGACGTTCGATCAGAATAATCAGAGTCATAGGACTTCGGAGGCCCCGACACCCCTACACCTGCCATGGCTCCCCTGGACTCTGAGATCCACGGATGGAACAAAATACCTCGTAACTTCTGGGAGCCCGCGCCGCTTGAGGACTATGTCAGACGTACGGTGGAGCAGCGGATTTACCTTTCAGGTTGGCATCTGCAGTCGCCGCGCCTACAACTGGCCTTCAGGCTCCGCTGCGACAGGCTCTGGAACAATGCCTCCGCCTTTGTCATCCTGTACCAGAGCTGGGTTCTTCTCCGGGATGAAGACCGGTGTGCTGTCTTTGCTGCTGTTATCGGCTTTGATGCTGTGTTTGGCAGGGCGATGCTCAGTGTCCTGTGCCTTCGGCAGAATCCAACTCTGGACGACCTGGACTAGGTGCTGGACAGCACAGGCTGCCAGGGTCGGTCTCCCCGCATCGATCCAGCGACCCCTACGTGGAGCGTATCAGCTGGCTCGGGCCTCATGCAATTGCATCAACCAGATGTCAGTGACAGCACTCTGGACCATATGGGCCCCCAGCTACATCCTGGTCATGCTAATGGCGGGGCTCATCCTCACCCTAATCCCCGCTCTGGCCCAGGACGAGAACACAGCCACCCATCACGACCGCAACCTCCAGTGCCCTCGTATGTTGCTCCGGTTCTCTCTGGACTTACTGTATCAGGGCGTTTGCATTGGTAGCTGTGTGATCCACAGGAACATGTATAGATGGCTCTCCACTGAGCGGGCTCAAGCAGCATCGTTCCGGGCCCCAGGCAGGAGACGGCCACATATGGAGGACAACTCCGATGAAGAACTGGTGGACCCTCTCATCTCCGATGGAGAGTCTGTGCACCCGGACCCCAACGAGCCCAGACGAGGACCACCGCCTCCCATCCCGGTCTTCCCGCCGCAGCGCACCGAGGCTATCCAACGCCTGTCCTGGCAGATTTCCTCGACTTCTCCAGTTGAATGGCACGGTGATCACCTACATCCCCCGCAACTGGCAGGAGCTGACGAGGATCGCGGTCATCATCCGACAGGGCACACCTGCGGACAGTCTACACCCGGACCTCCTCTACGTTAGCGACCGCGGCCCCAGTTCAGAAGAAGGTGATCACCGAGGAGCTCGCCCAGGCACCACTGGCGGTGAGGGAGCTCCTTCCATGGGGGCCACCGTCAGCGAGAGCGGAGCCACTCGGCTTACTGAAGCGGAACTGGACGCCATGCTTGATGCGGCTGACGATATGGACCTCAACCTGGACGAGATCCTGGCGGACACCGATGACGACGCCGCGGAGGAGATCACAAGGCCGACGGCTGCCAGCTCTTCGGCACCCCCGCCTCCCGCTCCGGCTACCAACTCCTCCGCCTCACCGAAGCCACGTGCGGGCACGAGCAGAAAGTGGGAGGCCTACGGGGTATGGATCCAGCAAGCGAGTTGCCTAGTGCAGTCCCTTACTTTCGCGCACTGGTTAAGCAGCATACGCTCCTTTTCCCAAGGCGCGGCAGGCCGTCCTGAGTGCATGGAGTCAAGTGAGAAGCCAGGACACCAGCGCCTTGGTAGACTCAAGCTTTCGTGCGCCAAGCTCCCTTCATGGACTCCCCTTGAGCCACGACGAAGTCGGCTGCACTCCCGACCGCCGATGAGGCTGCAGAAAATGACATCCTGCTCTAGACTCTGCTGCACATGGGTGTTGTACATTCTATTACGTGCTCTATCACATCCCACCTTCAGAATGTCAAAGCGAGCCAGGTACCGGCGCCTGCCGCCCTCCCCTGCACGGTCGGCGTCTTTGCTTGGTACAGTGGGCCACTTCATGCTGAACTCAGCAATTGACCTGACTAGGCTTGCCGAGCACGTAAAGTACCAGGCGGATCTCCTGACTGCCCGGGTCCTGGCCTTACTCATCACAGTTGACGCCTGCAGAGCCCACGGCCACTCGACCTCCGACCCGCCACAGGTGCCCTCGAGCAGAACATCGACTGGAGGCTGCAATGCTTGTGCCTCACTCTACGGTCACCCTAGACCACCGCGCAGGACAGGAAAGCCGTCCCCGCCAAGGCCCGACACATTAAGCACTACAAGCCGTCCGGGTCCCAAGTCCCGGAGTTGTTGCCCATCGCCGAGAACTTTGAAGACAATGTTGCATTCTCTTCTTCTATGGGTTTGTGTACACTCAAGCGTGGCAACAACAGATGCGAGGGTTAGGCTTCCCGAGCACCACGGGAGCCTTGAAGCCACACACCGGCACATACATTTTCATATCAGGGCGAAGCCAGATGGTGACTACAGCCATACCGCCCCACACTCAGGCCAAGCCCACCCAGTTCGAAAAAGGGCCTTCCGCCGAGCCCTTCATCGCGCAAGCCTCAACGAAGACAACACCACGTTTTACAGAGGCAGAAAACTGCACTTGCAACAGCTGCTGCGACAAGCTCGCGACACCCGACCCCCACTCAAGTCTCAGCCGCCAGAGGAGCGACGCAACAGATTGAGGGTGGTGTCTTGGAACGCTGGAGGCCTGGCCGGCCACACCTATAGAGAGGTCTTCACATGGTTGCAAGGCGAGCATGAGGACAAAAGGCCGGTAGACCTGTGCGTCCTCCAGGAAACCGGGTGGCAGGAAGACCTCGAGTTTACGACCTCCCAAGAGGTCGCCAACGCTGCCGACTGGCATGTGATCCACTCAGCTGGAGAGGGCAAGGATAAATCAGGCGTGATGTGCTTGATCAGAAAGACTCTCCTTCCTGCTGACAGTATCAGAACGGCCACCCTGGTCCCAGGTCGTCTACTACACGTTCGGCTTCTCACTGCGGTGCCCGTCGACTTCCTGTGTGTATACCAGCAGGCATGGAATCTGCAGAACACCTCGCTCAGGGGCCCCAATAAGACCGATGCTCTGATCAAACTACGCAGGCGGATATGGGACAAGGTCGACAGATGGCTGGGATCCATCCCACAGCGCAATGGCTGCGTCCTCATAGGGGACTTCAACTCGTCAGTCAATGAAGAGCAGCCCATCTGCGGAGCAGGACTCCCACAGCCAGATGCACCAGGTCATCCAGACCAAGGAGCACTCATGGAGCTCCTGCGGGCCCACAAATGCTGTGCATTAAACACATGGGGCAGGCAAGGCTCGGCCAGCCGCACATATCTCCCCCCCGGTGCTACCTCTTCCAGGCTAGGCACCCAGATCGATTTCATCATCACTCGTGGGAGCATGACGGACACCGTGTCTAAACAAGCCTCAGCCTTTGATGCACCGTTTGTTGCAGTCAGCGGCTGCCGCCATCGACCCATCCAGGCCTACCTGCCAGCCCCTCGGAGACCTACTACGCAGCAGAGCCCTCGCAGACTCCAGCCACGCCAGGTGCAGCAACTACTACGACAGCCTGAATTCCAACTTCAACTACACCAGCAGGTCCGATCGTCCTTTCATGCAGAAGCTGCCCCAGACTGTCTTGATGAGCTCCTGATTACAGGATGGGAGAAGGCCGCCCGGACCTCTCCACCGGCAGCTCAGCACACTGGATCAGGCTGCGCAATAGACCACGATGGCCCCCTCACATGTCAGGTCAAATGTATGTGGTCTCTTCGCGACCTTCTGCGCCGTCTGGGTGAAGACATCCATACTTGGCGGCAGGGACCCCCTCCTGCTGGTGCTGTGTTCCAGGCCTGGGCGACAGCGACCAAGCTGCAGACTCATACCCGAGCACTCCGCAAGGCATGCAGGAGCCGCAAGATCGTCGCCATTGCGGAGGCTGTCAGCTCAACCAACATACACCAAGCTGCCCGCCGCTTTGCTCCCAAGGCA